TGGAACTATAAATTGACCTCATGTTTCAAGTCACAATCTGGCGAAGACCCCAAAGGCACAGAAGAGGACCAAGGATGGATGGCACCCCGGTGTTCCCAACCCTACAGGACTGGGTAGGGAGGAACCAGAAGGAGAGACTGGGGAGGACAGAGAAAAAGCAGGATAGCAAGGTGGTGGGGAGACTGGAGAAAGGAGGCTGAAGACAGAAAGGTCTGCCCTGAATCAAGAGCTTCCAAGGGTCCAGGTCAGAAGGGAACTGAGGATTCAGCAGCTCCTTTCTGCGGCTTGGAGCCAAAGGCCGCTTTCACACTGCTGATCATCCTTCCCTGGGCTGTGCAGGCTCATCCCCAGGATTCACTCTTCGTTTCCATCAAGGGACTCCATCCAGTTTCACATCCAGTGGGGTGAAAATAGAGACTCAAGGAAAGGAGCTTCTTCATTTAGCATTGAGCCCCAAGTACAAAATGCTCCAGCCTAAGGTTATTACAGGGAGATTGAAAAAGAACACCTTGCAGCCATCACATCCCCAAGCAAAGAGGCAAGTTCACCACTCCAGTTCATAAATAGAAAGCCTCCAATCTTCTAGACCTGGTAAGGCCTAGGGTTTGTTTCCATTTCACACGGTGAGTTTTATTGCTCTGCAACCTTACAAACTACCGATGCACTGAGTACATTCTATCAAAACTAAATAAAAGCATCACTTAGTTGGGAGTAATCGAAAGGTATTGATGAAGGAAAAGACAGGAACTATATTGCCCTCAGAATCTTCCTGAAGCTCTGCAGTGGCTCTGTTGCTCCAGCTGAGGAACCAGCATCTCTTCCACCTGCCAGAGGGCAAGTCCCTTCATGTGCTGGAGTCTCAGCTGCCTCACCTATAAATTTGGGGTGATATTCCTCGCTGCCCACCTCTGCTTAAGTATCCAATGAGATAAAATGTGTAAGACCTGGCATATGGTGGCTGATAAATATTAACCATAATTTTTTTAGCACCTAGAAATGCATGATCTAAGAACATGTAATTATTTTATTTAGTTAGTTTTGGCTGTGCTGGGTCTTTGTTGCTGCATGGACTTTTCTCTAGGTCTGGTGAGTGGGGGCTCCTCTCTGGTTGTGGTGGGCAGGCTTCTCGTGGTGGTGGCTCTCTTGTTGCAGAGCACAGGCTCTGTAGTTGTGATGCGTTTAGTTGCTCCATAGCGTGTGGGCTCTTCCCAGATGGAACCAGTGTCTCCTGCATTGATAGGCAGATTCTTTACCAACAAGCAACTAGGGACGCCCTGAAGAGGGACTGTTATAATGGTGATTGTCTGATACTTCCCCAGAAGGTTGATTTCACCAGAGGTCCTCATCTCCCCCAGCCCCTGGGAAACCCCCAAATCCAGTCCTGACAGCACTGGATCCACCCTCCCTGAGCAAAAGCCCTAAGAACTCTCACAGGCTGCCACGTGTGTGGGAGAGGCTGCTCTTGACTTTTTCTCCTCTGCACACAGGAAGTAGGGCCCTTGGCAGGAGTTCAATGGCTGAGGGAGCTCCTGAATGCAGGGTTGGCTTGCGATTCAAATCCTGCTCCTGTGGTTTAAGAACTAACAGTTGTCATTTCACTGTGTACACAGGTCAACATCCTGCTCTTTGCCCTGAGGGACACGTCTCATGGGTGACTCTCTTTTTCAGGTGCCTTCTGGTTGGCCCTTGGCTCAGCTCCCACCCACCTGATGGGGAGAGGCCCCAACCTCTTGGACAAAAGCAAACAAACTCCACCCTCCAGATCCAACCCAAGCCAGCCAGCCTGGCTGGGTCCACCTGCCTGGCTCGCTCTGGGACAGGGCACCCCACCCACCTACCCTAGGTGTTTAGAGAGGTGTTTCCTCCACAGTACTCCATGGGGCACAGGTTTGTTCCCCGGGTGGGATTGTCAATATTCCAAACCCAGGTTGTACATTGGAAGGGTTTCTGGTAAGCTTTTACAATGGCATAACTGAAGTTCTATGTTAAAAAAATTTTTTTTAATGTTTAAATATGGTTGAACCTGTATTTTCCTATCACCATCAATGATAATAACGTGCATGCATGCTAAGTCACTTCCGTCGTGTCTGACTCTTTGCGACTCCATGGCCCTCCGGACTCCTCCATCCATGCAATTTTCTAGGCAAGAATACTGGAGTGGGTTACCATAATAATAATAATAACTGTTATTAATTAAAACAAAAGCTATCGACTGTCAAGCAGTTAAAATGTGCCAGGTCTGGCTGAGGTGACTGGCACACGTGTTATGCACTAATTTCTCCATCTCCAGCGGAGTGGGTTTTCCCTCCCATTTTGCTGACAAGGCAGGTAAGGCATCACAAAGAGGGGACGCAACGGCAAACCCTACATCAGGATTCAGTCCTTGTTGTGGGACCTAGGGCGTCTCCCCTCCCAGCATCCAATCCACCCCCACCCTCACCCAGGCGAGATCCCCTCCCACCTCACCCGCACCCTACCCCTCCCACCTTAATGAAAGAACCTGGTGAAACAATCAGAACTTTTGGTTCTCGGTGGTTAAGCCATTTTATTAATACTTTTTCACATTGTGCCTCCTCTGCTTTGTTGAATCCTTGCTCAACAACTGTGGTAAGCCTTTCAGTCCCATTCTCAACAGCGGTTCAGATTCAACCCTAAGGTTTATTGTGTCGCTGGTCACTGCCTCATATAGCACCGTCCTTTTCTTGAATTCCTCCTTCTAATTCATTTTTTTTTCATTTGATTGATGTACTTTGTGAGTAAGAACTTTTTCAGAAGTAGCATGGGAAATACACTACTCTCCTTGTTCCCTCCCATAGGGAGGAGGATCCTGGTGCTACCCAAAAAGGTCCCAGGTCCAGCTACTCCTCACTCAAAAAAATCAGTACTCAAGTGAGGCAAATGTAGGCAGAAAGGAAAGTTGCTTTTAGTCAGAAAGATGGGAATCCCGGGAGACGGTGGACTCGGTGTCTCCCGAAAACCACCTTGGAAGATTCTGCTTGGCCATGACAGCTTTTAAAGAGAAACACAAGTAATCTCAGTTAGTCGTTTAGATGAGGGGTCAGAGTCGCTGCCACCCCCCACTGCTTGCAGGCTGGTTGACTTCCTGTGATCTTTCTTTTTTAAACTTCTTTGTTGGAGTATAGCTGCTTTACAATGCTGGGTTAGTTTCTACTACATAGCAAAGTGAGTCGGCCACACGTCTACAGAAACCCCCTCTTCCTTGGATTTCCTTCCCACATGGGCCACCACAGAGCACTGAAGAGGGTTCCCTGTGCTCTACAATAGGTTCTCATTATTATCTATTTTATACATAGTCGTGTGTATATGTCAATCCCAATTTCCCTGGTGGCGCAAACGGTAAAGAATCTGCCTGCAATGCAGCAGACTCAGGTTCGATCCCTGGATTGGGAAGATTCCCTGCAGGAGGGCATGGCAACTCACTCCAGTGTTCTTGCCTGGAGAATCCCCATGGACAGAGGTGCCTGGTGGGCTATAGTCCATGGGGCCACAAACAGTCGGACACAACTGAGTAACTAAGTACAATCTCCCAGTCCATTCCACTCCCCTCCCCTACCTTGGTATCCATGTGTTTGTGATCTTTCTTTAGATGCTGTCTTGTTCACACAGTTTGTTCATGAGATTTCTGAAGGGGAAGCTAGGGATAGAGATATGGTCATCTGTTAATTACTTATTCTTCATTTCTACTTCCTCGATCTATGGAAAGAACCAGCAAGTTAGGCAAAGTATTGTGTGAGCAAAATATCTGAAAGGTGTGCTTGGGCTAGAACCAAGTGGAGCATGGAGGTGACTGGTATAAGTTTAATGTCAAGACAAAGGGACCTCGAGCAGCTAGCTCTTTCCTGCCAAAAGCTGCTTACACTGGGAGCAGTCCCATTCTTCTCAGACTGGTGGTTCTATCACCATTCAGTCTTCTGGGACACTCCCCTGCCAGTCAGACACACAGTTTAAACAATTTTCCTTTTATCATTGAAAGTTCTAAGTGTTCTTTTCAATAACTGCACCCAAAATTTGGTGAGGATCTTTGACCTGATGTCCTTAGCTCAAGAAACACTTGTTTTATTTTAGTCTTTTCTTCTCCTCCATCATTTTGGTTCTGACTTCCTGGAAATTGTGTTGTTGCTCCTTGTTCAGTTGCTCAGTCATGTCCAACTCTTTGTGACCACATGGACGCCAGACTTCTCTGTCCTTCACTATCTCCCAGTTTGCTCAAACTTATGTCCATTGAATCGATGATGCCATCCAACCATCTCATCCTCTGTCACCCCTTCTCCTCCTGCCCTCAATCTGTCCCAGCATCAGAGACTTTCCCTTCAGGGCTCTTCTCACCAGGTGGCCAAATTATTGGAACTTCGACTTCAGCATCAGTCTTTCCAATGAATATTTAGGGTTGACTTGCTTTAGGATTGAGTGGTTTGATCTCCTTGCTGTCCAAGGGACTCTCAAGAGTCTTCTCTAGCACCACCATTCAAAAGCATCAGTTCTTTTAGTGCTCAACTTGTGTTCTTGTTGTTGGTCTAATCACTCAGTTGTGTCCGACACTTTGCAACCCCATGGACTCTAGCCCTCCAGGCTCCTCTGTCCATGGAATTTCCCAGGCAAGAATACTGGAGTGGTTTGCCATTGTCTTCTCCAGGGAATCTTCCTGACCCAGGGACTGAATCCAGATCTCTTGCATTGCAGGTAGATTCTTTACCAACTGAGCCACCAGGGAAACTCAACTTGTGACATGAATGTAAAGGTCCCCTAGACTCCCTTCCCCATAAATCTATCCTTTCATGGTCCCCATCTCTTTATCTCTTTGCTCTAGGGCTGCAGATATTCCTTGACCTGCATTGAGCTTCTCATTTACACCTCAGATTTCAGCTCTGTTCCTTCTGCTGTTTGCTGTCTCTGTGAGTTCTTCTTTTATTCTCCAAGAATTCTTTTTTGAGCTCCACTTGCATTTTTTTTTACAGTAAGAGCTCTTATTTCTTTCTTAGAATAGCTTCTGAAATTTCCCTGAGGAAAAAAGTCTTAGAATTCTATGTTAAGTTCTTCGTGGTGCCCCTTCAGCTGCTGACCCCCTCGTGTGTCTGGGAGCATCTCGTCGGTAGGTATTTGGGGGAGAAAAGCTAAGACTGACATTTCTTGGTAGCTAGTGCAGGTTCATTCTGGAGCCAGTTTAGTGGGAGTCTTTGGAAAGAAGAGAGAATGGGATAGAAGCCAGGGGTCAGCTGACATGCTTCCTCTTGGGGATGGTGCAGAGGCAGGAGGAGGCAGGTGGCCAGAGCTAAAAACCAGGATGAAGAGGTTGGTGCCATTTTGATCCAGCGGTGGAGAGTGGGATTACCTAGCGGTCCTTAGTCTGCAGGCCACAGATGGATAGTCATTCTATGTCTGATGCTCTGGCGGGGTTTCTGAGATTTTAAATGAGTTATCCTGTAACTGCTCCTGGTTTGCCCACCCACCCTTCAACCTCTCTCTGCTGGTGGAATCTTATTTGTGTCTCTGCAGTGTCAAGACAGGTGGCACTAATGGTAAAGAACCTGCCTGCCAATGCAGAAGACCCCATGGAAGAGACGCAGGTTTGATCCCTGGGTCAGATCTCCTGGAGGAGGAAATGGCCATCCACTCCACTATCCTTGCCTGGAGAATCCCATGGACAGAGGAGCCTAGTGGGCTACAATCCACAGTGGTCACACAGAGTCGGCCATGGCTGAAGCGACTTAGCAAGTAGCAAGCAAGAGTCAAGACAAGGGACCAGAGGGCGGGGCATGCGTGGGCATTCCACTGCTGCCCGGAGCCCTGCTCCCACCTTTGACTAAGGCCCTTACAGGGAAATGAAGCACTGCTCCCTGGTCCCCGCTGTCTGCCAAGGACCTTGCCAGACCAGATGTCCCACGTCACCCAGCAGGCCACCCATGGGGGCATTGTGAGGTGTATTGCCAGGGTGAGCTGCTTTTTGGAGACAAAGGGCCAGTCTGATTATTGGCCCCTTGGGGCCCTTTGCCTTCACCAGCCCTACCCTGATGTCTCACATGGATGGCTGCACTCTGAGCTTGGAGGGAGGGCCCTGGGGAGGGGATTCTATGCCCTGAGCTTAAAGGAGAAGGTGGTTTCTGGGACCCACATTGCTTCCTTCTCCAGTGTGGGATGAAGCTAAGCTGATTTAAATTGGACCAGCCTGGGGCTCTGAGACTCCAGTGGGCTCTGGCATCTCCTGGGAGGGGGTGGGGTGGATGATGGTGAGTCCCAGCCATTCCCCACCCCCACAACAGGCTGACCCGCAATTTCTCCTGTCCTTTCTTCCTTATTTTAATCCTTCACTCCCTTCCTTCTTCATGCTGTTACTTTTTTCCTCCCACAAACTCATAAATCCACACAGAAGACAGTCCCATTCTCTAAAAGGCCCCTGTCAGAACAAATGCTTTCACCGGCAGTCGCTTGAATTTGTCTTCCTCCAGCCTTCCACCGGGGAAAGAGATGCGATTATGACTTTCAGAGGGTGACTGAAATAAAGATGACACATAAAACAAGACGTCTGAGTCAGTCAGTGGCCGGCAACCCTCTTCTGATCTCACCACTCAAGTACTTAGCCTGTATTGGCATGAACCTTAACTCATTATGATCACATGAAAGTCTCTGAACCTGAGGGAGATGTGAGCGCCAGGATGCCAAATGTGGGGAAGATTCCATTCTCACCTGGCCATCAAACCACACAGGTCCCGGTCCCTGGGATGAGAAATGGAACCCATTTCTAGTGCAACTGGAAAGACAGTGACAGAGATGGAGAGAGGGCGTCTCGACCGTGCCTTGGAGCCCGGTATCAGGACAGATGATAATGTAGATGAGAGCCCCCGCACCACCCCCCCACCAAATCCCAGATACACCCAGCCAAAGGAGCAGAGCCTTAAAATCCAAGACAACATTTTCAGGGAAGGTAAAGGAACATTTCTTGAGTGACTACTGTGTAGTGAGAACTTCTTCAAGTGTTAGTTTCAACAACTCTAGTCATAGTAAGATACACACCTCAGTGGAAAGAACCACTATTCCATTGTTTATATACACAATATTTTCTTTGTCCATTCATCTGTCAATGGACAATCATCTTTCCATGTTGTGGCTATTGTAAATAGTGCTGCAATAGTCCTGTAAATAGTTCTATTACAAATAGTACTCCAGAAACACTGGCATACATGTGTCATTTTGAATTGTAGTTTTCTCAGGGTACATGCCCAGGTATGGGATTGCTGGATCATATGGTAGTTCTATTTTGTTTTTTAAGGAACTTCCATACGTTCCTCCATAGTGGTTATGTCCATTTTCATTCCCGCCAACAGTGTAGGAGGGTTCCCTTTTCTCCACACCGTCTGTAGCATTTATCATTTGTAGATTTTTATGATGATGGCCATACTGTCTTGTCTGGAGAACCCCATGGACAAAGGAGCCTGGTTGCAAAGAGTCAGGCAAGACTGAAGAGACTGAGTATGCACACACTCATCCTGACCATTAGGGCAGATGAAGCTGGTCCCATGGCAGGACAAGTGATGCAGATGTAGAGAATGGACATGTGGATATGGGGGGATGGCGGGGAATGAATTGAAAGTTTAGGTTTGCCATATACATATACTCTACCATGTGTAAAATAGCTAGCTAGCAGAAAACTGATAAATAGCACGGGGAACTCAGTGCACTGTGATGACTTAGATGCGTGGGATGGGGGGATGGTGGGAGGGAGGTACAAGAAGAAGGGGCATCAGGTTGGGTGCATGAGACAAGTGCTTGGGCCTGGTGCACTGGGAAGACCCAGAGGGATTGGGTGGAGAGGGAGGTGGGAGGGGGGACCGGGATGGGGAATACATGTAAAAAAAAAAAAAAGATACACTATGGTTGTGATAAAAAAAAATAAATAAATAAATAAATAAATAAAAAATATTAAAAAAAAAAAAGAAGAAGAAGGGGCATATGTACATGTATGTGCTCAGTCACTCAGTCGCAGCCAACTCTTTGCAACCCCATGGACAGTAGCCCAACAGGCCTCTCTGTCCATGGAATTTTCAAGGCAAGAATACTGGAGTGGGTTGCCATTTCCTTCTCCAGGGATACACACACACACACACACACACACACATATGTATATATATGTGTGTGTAAACATATAACAGATTCACTTTGTTGTACAGCAGAAACTAACACAAAAAGTAATTATATTCCAATAAAAATAAAGTGAACAATTCAGTGGCCAAAAAACCACTATTTCACGAGACTCAGAAGAAAATGCTAGTTAAGCCATGATTTGATACTTTCTTATCATTTAGGTTTTGAGTTTCATGCCTATAAAAGAAGTTTTTGGCCCAATCTAGGTTTTCCTGTATAAACATAAAATATAGGTGAAATAAGCTGGTAAGTTATTCTTAAAATTTTTCATTCCAACCAACTCTTGAATCCTCTTTGGACTCACAGTCATCAATGTCTCTGCTTTTCCTACAGTATCATTCTCTGTGCCTTTAGGGTATGAGGCGATAGAGTTTCCTAAGAGTGGTGTATCAGTTTCCTGTCACTGCTATAACAAACAATCACAGACTTGGTGGCTTAAAATAGCATGAATATGCGACTTGCCTGGCACCCCAGTGGTTAAGACTGCCTTCCACTGCAGGGAATATGGCCCCAGTCCCTGATCCAGAAACTAAGATCCCACATGACTCCGGGCCACAAAAGCCAAAACGTAAGAAAAAACAGCAGAAGCAATATTGTAGCAAATCCAATAAAAACAGCTTGAATTTTATTATCTTACACCTTTAAAGGTCAGAGTCTGACTTGGGTCTCAGTGGGCTAAAATCAAGGTGCCAGCAGTGCTGTTCTCCCTCTCACGACCTACAGGGGAGAGTCTGCTTCCTTGTCTTTACAAGCTGCTCAGGTCACCTGCATTCCTTGGCTTGTTCCGCCACCCCCATCCCCAAACTGGCAACTTTGCACCTTTCTAACAGTTCTTCTGTAATCACTGCTACCTCTGACCACAGTTGGGAAAGGCTCTCTGATTTTAAGGATGCAGTGATTAGACAGGCCCCCCTGGCTAATCCAGACTGCTCCCCCAAGCCCAACGGACATAATTTAATCCCACCTGCAAAATTCCTTCTGCCATATAGGGTAACTTATTCACAAGTTCTGGGGACAAGGATGTGGGCATTTTCAGGGCATTTCCCTTATCCTGCCACCATAGTGGTTTCCTACTGTGGTATACAATCCCCCAGTCCCTGACACCTTTCTACAAGCATTTTTGCTGGGCTTTCTGGATATTATCTGAGTATCAACAGAAAGTTCTGGACCATCTCAAGACTCATACACCTTTCTCAAATGATCCTTTAAGTGATTTGGCAACTGAAATGGCAAGGACAATGGTGACCACTCATGATGTGAGTTTTTGTTGTTCAGTTGCTCAGTCATGTCCTTCTCTTTGGGACCCTGTGAACGGCAGCAAGCCAGGCTTCCCTGCCCTTTACTGTCTCCTGGAGTTTAGTCAAATGCATGTCCATTGAATTAGCGATGCTATCTAACCATCTCATCCTCTGTCATCCCCTTGTCCTTTTGCCTTCAATCTTTCCCAGCGTCAGGGTTCTTCCCAATAAGTTGGCTCTTCGTAACAGGTGGCCAAAATATTGGACCTTCAGCTTCAGCATCAGTCCTTCCAATGAATATTCATGGTTGTTTTTTTTTAGGATTAACTGGTTTGATCTCCTTGATGTCCAAGGCACTCTTTAAGAGTCTTCTCCAGCACCACAGTTCAAAAGCATCAATTCTTTGGCACTCTGCCAACTCTCACATCCATATATGAAAACTGGAAAAACCATAGCTTTGATTATATGCGGCTTTGTCAGCAATGGTGATGTCTCTGCTTTTTAACATGCTGTCTAGGTTTGTCATATTTTTTTCTCCCAAGGAGCAAGTGTTTTTTTAATTTCATGGCTGTAGTCACTGTCCCCAGTGATTTTGGAGCCCAACATAAAATCTGCCACTGTTTCCACTTTCTCCCCCATCTATTTGCCATGAAATGATGGGACTGGATGCCATGATCTTTGTTTTTTTAATGAGTTTTAAGCTAGCTTTTTCACTCTAC